AGGCTCCCTACTCAGCCCAATGCAGGGCTCCATCCCAGGACCCTGGGATTATGACCTGAGCCAAAGGCAGATGCTTAACCGACTGAGCCACCCAGGCACCCCGAACAACCTCCGTTCCATCTGCAACCTAAATCCCCTTTTGCCGTGTTATGTGCCATAATCCCAGATTCCGGGGATCAGGATGTGACCATCTTTGGAAGACCATGATCCTGCTGACCCCGCATGGCTGCTCCACTGATCTGTGGTACAGGAGGAACTGTCCAGAAAGAAAGGGGGTCATTGTTTTTTCAAGTTGCCCTGTGAAACAGATTTAAGTAAAATAGTGATGTGAACATGGTAACACACTCAAAATCCCCGAGTCATTTCCTGGCACATAGTAGGTGTTCAGTAAATGAGATCTCATGATTATGTTCAATGAAGGGCTCACCTGTGTCTCCAGTACTGGGATAGGGCCCTCGTGGGAGGGTCCCCTGTCTCATCTATCCCTGGCTTCTCTGCCTGCCAGCCCCCATGGGCACGCGCATGCGCGCGCACACACACACACACACACACACACACACACACACACACGCAAAAGCGCAGATGCAGACACAGATGTAGCAGCTAACTTCCCTGCAGAACAGGGAAAGTCCTATAGCTCTGCTTCCAGCTCCCACAAGCTGTGTGGCAGAATGGCCTTCTGGCATAAATAAAAATAAACCCCAGACGCTGCTTTTCAATCAGAGGATTAGCCTAAATGTTGTGAAACAGAAAGCATGAAATATGCATTGGAGAAAGAGCTCTCCCCACTCCTCAGCCTCCTTGCATGGCTCCAGGCGGCTGGCGTCTGTGCGGGGCTGCTCACCCGGTGAGGCTGTTGATGATTTGTGCACAGTGTCAGGAAATGCTGTTTTGACATTATTAATGCTCCGCACTCTAGCGAAGGACAATGGCCTGTTGCCTCTTAATGTGCTGTCTGCGGCTGCAGTCGAGGCACATTAAGTGAGGATTTCAAACACCGTAGTAAACTGTTTGTTTCCTTCTTTCCTCTTCCAGCCCAGGCCCTGTCTGGGAGCTTCAGAAGCAGCCTTGGAACCTTGAGAAGGTGGGGGTGGCAGTCAAGGCTCTGATGCCCAAGAGGCTTCCGGGGGGCCAGCGAAGGGGCAGGGGGCCTGCAGGGAACCCTTGAGTGCACCCAGGAGTGTTGACCTTCCTCCAGGGGCAGCGAGGGACATTGCAGTGGGGGCTGGCCCCAGAGAAGCTGGGCTGGCTGGCTGGGCAGGGCTGGTGGGCTCCCTGCTTTGCCCTCTGCTGACACCCCAGGGGACCCAGATGGCAGACCTCTGGTGAATTTTACTGGTCTTGCATAATGTTCTAAAAATATTGAGTCCGCATTTTACAATTATGCGATTGCACGTGGGAAGTCCAGATTTCTGACTCTTGAAATAACGGGGCCCACACAAAGCAACAGTGCATATCCCCTTTGGGGAGCTCTGGTCCTTAGCACTGCCTAACCACTGTGGCCGCTTCCCACTAGGTCCCTGTAGTAGGCCAAACAGTGTGCCCCCCCAAATTCAGGTTTACCTGGAACCTCAGAACATAATCTTGTTTGGAAAGAGGATCTGTGCAGAATGTAATTCGTTAAGATGAGGTCATACTGGAGTAGGGTGGGTCCTAATCCAGGGCCTCCTGCTGCTCCGGGCTTCTGAGCCTCCAGCCAGGCCTCAGGCCCACGTGGAGGGCTGCAGGGGAGACCAGGAAGCGCTATATTCCAAGTGCCCAGGCTGATGCAGTCTACGCCCTGATGCCCACGATGGGCTAGCCTGTGGTTCTGTTTGTAGCCTCAAGAGAGAAAGAGTGAAAAGGGGATGTTTTTGGGATCTGGTACGACCTGTGCGCCCCAATTCCTGCTTCTCTAATCTCTTCTAGTTTGCTTAGGGTGGCTCTGGTTCCTTCTCAGAAGGCCGTGGCTATTTCTCTAGAACCGTGGTTCCCCATCCTGGCCAGTTATGTTGGCATAACCCATGGCATTAAGAAAACAAATGTACCCAGGCCCCATCTTTGGGATGGAATCAAGGTAGGGAGATTCTGTTCTGTTAGGTTCTGCAGGGGATTCCGCTGAGTCTGGGCTGAGAACCTCTGGCCTGGAGGGCAGGGTGTTGGCTTGGGTTCCCCGGAAGTAGGTTCTCAGACAAGGATGCAAGTGCCCATAGTTTATTTTGGAGGTGACCCTGGGAGCGTGGACAGAAGAGTAGGGGATGAGGCAAGGAGGGGAAGAAAGCCAGCACGGGGTGTGCTGCAGAGCTGGCCACAACCATGGGCAGCTGGAGCACAGTCTCACTGCGGAACTCTGGGAGCTGATGTGGAACGTGCGGGAGCATCCCACCCGAGGGAGAGGGAAATGGGTATCTGCCCATTCCTTGAGGGCTGCTTCCAGGGCATTAGGGCCCTGACACTTCTGTCTTGCTTTTGCATGTTTGAGCATATTCCCACAGCCAGAAATAAAGCCTCAGGCAGTGTTGCATGTATCTTCAGTAATCTGCCTTTTGGCCTGCAGAGGTGCATGCCCATGGAAAGGGTGGGCACCAACAGCGTCCACGCAGGGAGACGGTAGCAGGAAAAATCATAACTGCCGAATGCGAGGACTCACAGGCGCCAGGCAGCGGGCTGCTGACATGCACCAGCCAGTGCATTTTCATGTCCCCCTGGGAGGCAGGCTCTAAAGAGCCTGACTGACGGCCAAGGAAACTGAGGCATGAAGAGAGCGTACCCTAGGTTGCATGACTAAGGATTCACAAACTTCCTCCTAATATCTACAGCAGACAGCACACAGGACTATTTACCCTGGTCTTTACCGTAGATGAGAGGCCAACAAGACAGGAACGGTCTGAAAGGAGGTGGCTGGCTGGTCTGGCTCGCAGAGTTATCTTCTACTGTCTACCCCACACCTCCCTGCCTGGCCACAGCCTGCTGGCAAATGGCAGCGGGCACCTTTTCCTGCCTACCTCAAAGCCCACGTGCTAGAGAGCAAGGCCCAGAGGGGATGGAGAAGACCCACTCCCGCCTTCTGAGCCCAACCAAACATGGCTGTGCCTCTCCTCCACCTCTGGCCTAAAGTGCCAGAAGCATTAATTCCACCCCCCCTCCCCCCCCGAGCTCACTGTAAAAGAGAGACACACAATTGCAAGGGCCATTTCATTCCTGAGTGTAGATATGGCGTTCACCTTGACATCAGGGTTTAAATTAGTGCCTGGGTGTGTGGCCGGTGTGGGCCGGGCAGAGACCCCTGCCCTCAGATATCTCCTGGGCCAGCCTGCCATGATGCCTGTCTCCCGCCACCATTTGCCACTCCTCTGCACCGAGGCATGGTTGGCATGTCCTTGTTCAATGCAGATTTGTTACCTAGCTGGAGTAACATTAATCTGCCAACACCAATTCATCGTCTGTTTTCATGTTAGCAGAGAGCAAGGCGAGGTGATGGAACACGGGACAGGTGAATTTTGATGAAGAAGGAGCAGGAAAAGCAGGAGCATGGGTCATCGCTGGTGAGAAATGGCTCAGATGCGGCCGGAAGGGGGGCTAGCAGAGGGGGTGGGGGTGAGGGCCCCAGCGGGATGGGACCAGGGCCGGGTGGTTGAAAAGAAGGGTTTTCTCCTCTTCAGAGCCAGGCTGCAGAATCATTGCCGGGGATGGAAGGACTCTCAGGGTCATCTGTGTCCTTTTACACGTGGCCTGAGGCCTGGGCTCTTCCTAGCAAGGTGCCTCCATGTCTGTGCTTGGTCAAGGTCTGGTCGGGCAAGTGCTGTTTCTGCCTGAGTGCTTTCTCAAATGCGGGCTTTGCTCTGATAGCTGCCCTGGCTTGATGCACTGGGAGAAGCCGCTGACCCACCGCTGCAGCGGAAGACGCATCTCCAAAGTCAAGAAGTGGAGGAGGTTGGGGTGGAGGGCACGTAAATGCTTTATAGAGTTGGAAAGAGCCTTAGCCAACTTCAGGTCACTCTCATTTCACAGTGGAGAAACCGAGGCTCTGGAGTCTCCCTGACTTGTAGGCCTTAGCCACTGGTTAATGGAGGATCTGAGGCTAGACCCCCGGTCTACACAGCGCGGTCTGGTTGCTGGGCTCAGTGGAAGAGCCCGAACAGCGCAAGAGGCGGAGTTTGAACTCAGCTCAGTAAGTAAAGGGGAGCCACGGCAGTTTCTTCCAGACAGGGCCAGAGGATGGGTGAGGGCTGCAGAGCGACATCAGAGCTGGTGTGAAGGAACCAGGGCAGAAGCCCACGAGGCGGGGGTCAGAGGCAGCGACCAGAGGAAGGGGGGGGTCTTCGCCCAGCGCCGACCTTTTCTGTGCTCCGCAGGAGCCGAAAGCGGGGCTGGGGGCGTTACACAGCTGGAGGGAGGCTCAGGGACCAGCCCCCCAACCCGGGCCGGGAGGACGCGCTGCCGAGCCGCAGCCACGAGGTGGCGCCGGCGCGCCGAGGAAGCGCGGAGGCCGCTTCTGGGTCGCCCCAGCAGCCGCTCGGCCGCCTCCTCCGAGGAAACAATGCGGCGCCTCCCCGCGTAGCGCGGCGCGGGGCCGGACGCCGGACACCCGACACCCGACTGCCGAGAGCGGGCGG